AGATAATCTGGGATGAGATTCTGGGATATAAGGACAGTGTAGAAGGAACCTAAGACTAATGAGAGATGCAACCTAACAGTGTCTAAACATCCCATTTTCCCCCATGCCCAATATAGAGAGCATGCTGCAAAGATTCATCCTTCACTTACAAAGTTGCAGATGGCTTCCGCTTGTAAAAATTCTTCTTAAAATATATTACATTTATCCACTCACATGTTACATTTAATGTACTATTTCTCTCATTTTACAGTACCAGTAACTATAGTAGTCATCATCATTCACTCTCTTACTGATGTCAGCACAGTAGCTCCATTTAGCATCTCTGTCATAGTTTCTTGTGGTTGCACACCAGAATCCTTCTTTGTCCTCTTTAGTACAGGTATAGTATGTCCGGTTCTTATAGACGAAGGGGAAAAAGCAGGGTTTGCCTTCAGAGTTGCCTCCGTGCTCTGAATATATAGAGGTGATGGATTTCAAAAGAGAGAGAAGCAAACAGTTACAGTTGTAGGTTCAAATAGTTTAGGCTACTGTTTCTGTTACTTCACCAATTTATCTGCCTTTATGCTAACTTTATAGCTCGGAGTTTCTCAAACTGTCCTCCCCAAATATTTTAAAATCCAAAACATATGAAATCTAAATCACATCTGATTTCAGGCATTTCAGATAAGAGATATTCAACCTATAATGTCCAATGCATTGACAAAATGCTTTCTTTTCTTGATTATTATAATATATAGCAATTCTAGCCTAATTGTAAAAATGACAAAGCACCAGATAAAGTTCTTTATGGGGTCAGTTCAGTATAAACTGAACACAGTCTTGTTTAATCAGCAGTACTAGGCAAGCTGCAAAGACATCATCTGCATACTCATCCATGGCCTGGCAGAGTTCTAGGTTACACACCTTGAACAGAACAGTGCTTCCATTTACCATCTTCATCATAGTTGGCAGTTGTACCACACCATAGCTGATCATCAATAGCCCCAACTTTGGTGCATGATGTGTAGGGTTTTCCATCAAAAACAAAGGGAAAGACACAAGAGGGAGCACCTGAAGGATGGAAAATTAGAGATGAAATCAGTGGAGGATAAACCAAAAATTAGAGCCTAACACTACCATAAAGGCACCAGATCCTGTCTGAGCTTTAAAACTTCTTAACTGGGTTATAGGCTAAAGATGAAGTCTTTCAGGAAAAGTGGTAACCCAGATTCAACAGAAAAGTATATCTAGCCCTTTATTATTGTATTCTGCCCATCTAAGAAACTTAGACTTTCTATTGGTATTTATGTTACCTTTGACACCTGTATGGGCTTGTTGGAGACTGTTGGCAAATGCCAGAAGGGCCAGGAATCCAAACATCTCACTGTAGCTTGCTGGTAAGTTTGTAAGATGTGAATGATACACATGGTTATATAATCTCTGTTTGGTCTCTCCCCACATTGCCTTTCCAACTCAAGCTATCATTTCCTCCATCCTGGAGGAACTACATCAAATTAATCTTGCTCCCTTTTGGTCTCCTAGAGGCCTGTAATGGCTGGTTGCCATTTTCTTCTGAAGCTGTCAGGTCACCACAGACTGATGGTTGTGTATAGAATGGTGGGAAAGACTGAGCTCGCTGAATTTTCCACTGGTTACTCTGAGACACACACTAACCAGCTTTTGTCAAAACCTGGGTCCTCAGATTTTATTGGATTCCAGAACCTATTATAACTAGTCATGGAATTGAAATTCTAAAACACCAGGAGGATTGAGACTGGTCAGATCTACCTTGAATCTTTTGCAGGGTCCTTAGCTAATGCTATACTCAAAACCAGTGGTTCTCAACTTCCCAGGTGTTTTGGCCTACAACTCCCAGAAATCCCAGCCAGTTTACCAGCTGTTCCGATTTCTGGGAGTTGAAGGTCAAAACATCTGGGGGTCCACAGGTTGAGAACCACTGCTCAAGGCTATATAAATAATGCAATTTTGCCCTTGAATAATTACAGCTATATGTAAAGACAATTACACACAAGTCAAATCATCTTCTGAGTATTTTAAAAAAATGTTGTATTTTTCAACTCACCAGTAACAGTTGATAGTCCCTGTGTTAGTAGGATAGCAAATATAGTCTCAGTTTTAGTCTGAATTTTAAAAGAGCTATTCAAAGTATTAAAGAGTCTCTCAGGGGAAAAAAATGTCATCCCAAATTCAGTAGGGACTTGGATGGATAACAGGAATTCAAATTTACAGATTTATGGTAGGCTTCAGTATGAACTTTGAAAGAATAATCCAAAATGCAGAACCTTGTCCCAAGTCCACACATGTCTTTTCATGCTGTTCACTCATATCAATACATTTGTAACAAATATCAGTTTACTTATGTCAATGAATTCATTCAATCTCCATAAGTAGTTCAGAGATCAGCAATTTTTTGCAGGCAAGAAATTAAGCAGAATCAAATTCCTAATTTTCAACTGTCTACTGTGCCTGAATGTAATGAATCTTCATACAAATGTATGTCTGTTAATTAGCTGCCCTTAGCTAGATGCCTTTCAGGTGCATTGATAGCTGGTGGCAGCTCTGATGTCAATGGGATGGTAAATTAACTTCGGGGTTTAATCTGAACTTTAATACACCTATCCAAGGTTTTGCATCTGTCCTGTAGATATGGTTCAGTACTTTGGCTAGTTCCTTTCAATTTCACACTAAAACCTGAAGCAAGTTCATCTCCCCCTTTACATCAGAGTCACTTGCCATCATGGTGTACTTAACTGAATCTCCCATCTTCCCTTGTCTGCCAGTGGCAACCACATGACCCAGATCCCTATCTCTATATATTTAGCCTACATGGTTGAAAGTCCATGCAGAAAAGGCAAACAAATATACATTAAAAAGTATGGCACACCCATTTTAATGCCAATGACTGTAAAATGGCTGGAGCTCAATGCATTCAGACCCTAATGCCTTACCAGGTTATGCCATAATTGTTCTGTTTCTATAGCAAGTCTATCAGACTGCAATCCAGCCCCCTTAGACATGTAGTCATCTGACCCCAAGGACTAATTCTAGCCTCTGAATGTCTTGATCTATCATGACTAACCCCCCTATTTACATTCCTCAGTTGCTTCTTTGAAGTTTGACCTTTGATTATTGACTGCACAACTATTTATGGCCCATTTGGATCAGCAGACAATTCCCTGGGTATCAGAAACTGACTACCAGACTACTTAGATTTGCTAGCATCTGGTAGTATCCTCTAGTAACTCTTACTCAGGGACAGTATTACCATGGATGCTGAAAATGTTCTAAATATGCTATGCTTATCACCAATTTTGTGTGGACTTCAGATCTTGTATCAATTAGTGAGATATTCCTGAGTCGATTCCAACTCAATTGTCTTAGAAATTACTCAGCACAAAAAAGACCAAAGAATATCTATAGAAAATCTCTATCTCTGAAGCTTGGGAGGGTGAGGCCAACCTGCCGGTAAGAGGTTAATAAATAATCACCCATTTAGAAGAAGGATTGCCAGAAAACAAAGCAATACAGAAGGTCACCTCCACATCTCATTCCACCCAACCGGATCTCCATTCATCCAGTGACAAATGAGCCCTTGGAATTCCCTTTCTCCCACTTCTCCCACATTTGCAAGTGGCTCTGGGGCTCAATGTATGATCAGACAGTTGGAATCCATAGAAATCTGGGACTATCCAAAGAAGGCTGACCCAGGGTAAATCTAACATCATTCATTGCATTATCTGGTCTGCATCCAACTGCCAATCCTAAACAGAGTAGAACTAATGTATTGTCAAAAACTTTCATGGTCGGAATCACTGGGTTGTTGTAGGTTTTTTTCGGGCTATATGGCCATGTTCTAGAGGCATTCTCTCCTGACATTTCACCTACATCTATGGCTAGCATCCTCAGAGGTAGTGAGGTCTGACCTCACTACCTCTGAGGATGCTGGCCATAGATGCAGGCAAAATGTCAGGAGAGAATGCCTCTAGAACATGGCCATATAGCCTGAAAAAACCTACAACAACCCAGAGTAGAATTAAATAAGATTCTGAATTGTAAGTCACACCCTATCTTGCTTTGCTCACTTCTCACCTGGAATACTTTGTCCAGTTCTTGGCACCAAAGTTCAGGAAAGATATTGACAAGCTGGAACATGCCCAGCATAGAGCGACCAAAATGATCAGGGGTATGGAAACTATGTCTCTTGTGGCCTCTTGCAACACTATGATTCTGTTATTCTATAGCCCTGTCCCTCTGTAGACCAGCCTATCTGAACACCTCACTTTTGACTATGGCTACAAGCAATTACTTTTACAACAAACCTTGCATTTCTTGAGCTTGATTCCAACTGTGGGCCAGGGATTAAACTGAAACATTTCAATTCATTCTAACATATGGATGAAGCAGGGCCGTAGCTAGAAAAAAATTTCGGGGAAGGTTGAAAATTTCGGGGGGGGGGGTTGAAAATTTGGGGGGGGGGTGAAACCTGCCTCTTAGCTCACGCTGAAGCAAAGAGCACAGCAGGGGCAGAGCAGCCTTCAATAGCCTGCAGCTCCGCCCCTGTCAACCACCTCCACCAAGTCTGGCCTCCTTAATGAGAGCATTCAACACCCCCCCCCCCAACTTGGTTGCTTCGTTACATCGGCTATTGCTGCAAGTAATGACAGTATGAATAAATTGTCAATATTTGCTTGAGATAGTGCTTGCAGTTCTGGAGGGACTTTTAATTTTTGCATCTCATAGACTTAGCATGGGGATTTGGTTAACCAGTTCAAATTCATGAGTAAACCAGGTTTTTTTTAACCTGAAAATTTTTGGGGAGGGGGGGTTGAACCCCTAACCCCCCCCCCCCCCCCCCGCTACAGGCCTGGGATGAAGACATGCAAACATTGCCGGCTTTTCCGAGAGCATATATCTCTCAACTGTAGGCCCTCATGAGAGTCAGTGTGGTAGACATCAGATGCAATCAAAAGACAGGATGCAACTGTGTTATGCTCTGAATATTTATTGAGTCAACAGCAAAGCAGACAACTACAAGAAAAATCACATACAAAGCACAATTTGGTGGAATCAAAGCAATGGGTGCCAGATAGTGTGTTGTTGCTAACTGAGCCCATAAGGCACTTTGAGGAGCATTAGCGGCTATAACAGGGGCTGCTGTTTTCTGGTAGATTGTTGTCAAAACACCGGATGCAATTATTTCTGTTGCACTTGAATAGTGGGGCATGCCGGATATTTTTCCAGGCATTAATCACCACTTCAGCCTGTTTCTCTTTATCTTTATAATATATAGTTTCAAATACAAAAGCCCTGGAATTCTCACTGTACCTGTTAAAAATAGGGTTGAGAATCCGAACAATGTTCTTCATGTCAGTCATATTGAGACAACGATCTACACAAGGGGATATTTTGCTGAAAAAGATGAAACAGCTATTCTGGCCCTCATTAGCTAACAGCTTCTCTACTGGGCTGTTATTGCCCCCATTAAGCAACCGCCATTCAGCATGCTTTCTTGGTAATTCCTTATGTGGCCTAGCAGCAATAATATTTTTTATCGTGCTTGGGATATATATGCCATTTTCCTTCTTAATAGCCTTCTGCATCTGCAGCATCTCATTGTTAGGCAAGGCAGCTTCCAGGTTAGTTGGATTAGGATTTCTACAGCATTTTTTATCCAGCCTTACAGCCACAGCATATTGGTATCTGCTTTCAATTCCATACCTAAAAAGAATAACAGAAAGGATAGCATTGAACTGTACTGCTGAATGAACAAAAACTGAGATATTAATTCGCCAACAAGGGTTCTCCTTTTGGTCCAAGTGGATTTTACTTCAGATTATTATTGTCTTGATAGATGAAAAATGAAAAGATATAGTCATTTTGCCAAACAGGCCCTATTTACGATGTAACATAAACATTATAGACTTTGCTTTTCATTTACCAGCAGAGTAATAGATTTTCATCTACATTCCCTATTTGTTCAGGGTTACGTATATGTACACTTCGCCCTTCACATTTGCAAGAATTAGGGCATAGGACCCCTGGAAAAATGGAAAACTGAAATATTAAATATTTTAAAATTGAAATATTACTTTTATGTTATATTGAAAAAAAATTTCAGCAGATCAAAGACTGAGTTAAAATATTTGAGATGGAAATGGATAAGGAATTACTATAAGTATACTAATACAAATAAGGAATAATAAATAAAGGTGTGAATGGTGAGGACAAGAGATGGGGCCTTATCAGTGGTGTCCCCTCCACTGTAGAACTCCCTCTCCAGTGAAATTAGATAGGCCTCCTCCCTTCTGGTCTTTTAATAAAAAGTAAAATCCTGGCTGTGAAAGTTGGTGTTTGGCAAGAAGCAAAATTAAAGTGCAATGGACTCTCACAGAAGCAACATAAGAAGCAACTTGGACAGTATTTTTGGGATTGGTACTATGTGTGTGTGTGTGTGTGTGTGCTTTATATGTCTTAATCGCTTTTAATTTGTAATTTATATGTTTATTTGATTTTAATGGTTAATTGTGTTATGTATTGTTTGATTTTTGTATAATTGTGGCATTGAATATTTGCCGAAATTGGAAGCTGCTCTAAGTCCCCTCGAGGTGAGACAAAGCAGAGCAAACATAGTTTTTCATTTCCTTCTATATCCAGAAGAATAATAATTTCTCTAGAACAGATCTCCTAGCTTCCAGCAGCCAGGGGTGCTGTAAATTCTGGCTTATTGTTAGTGACAAATATATTAGTTTATGCTTTTTGCATATAACAATCTATCCTTTGAATTTTCTGCTATTTAAAGATACATGGTTGCTTTGTAAGGTTCCAATTTATGTGGTTTTGATGTTTCTTTGGTAGTTCCGTGACTGTCTTTCAACTGAAAGAAGAATAATTGTAACAAATTGCTCACCCTCTGATGTAGTCAATGATAGTCTTCAGATTTTTTGTGTCTATGGCTTCAAAGGCTCCATTCTCCAAAGAAAGTAAGACAACCACCCATAAGAAAGTGAAGTGTGGCCAATGCCGGATTGTCTGCCAAAAAGGAGAAACAAAAAGCATGAGTCAAGAGCACAATCAAATGAAGTATTCAGGGAGCAAGGGCTTCGTGCTCGCTTCGGCACTACATATACTAAAATTGTTACGATACAGAAAGCAAGGGCTTAAAAATAATTATTCCAAGCTCTGAAGAGTAGACTGGAAACCTAATGAGTTTGGTTAAGAAAGGTTTGGAAGCAAAAGTGGGAAGTAAGGAATAAATACCTTAATTTTAAAGCTGGGGCAGATCATATATAGATGGATGTTCATAAATGAGGATGCATCTATACCAGTGTTTCTCAACATTTCTAATGCCATAACCCCTTAATACCGTTCCTCATGTTGTGGTAACCCCCAACCATAACATTATTGTTGTTGCTACTTCATCACTGCAACTTTGCTAATGTTATGAATTGTAATATAAATATCTGATATGCAGGATGTATTTTCATTCACTGGACCAAATTTGGCACAAATACCTGATACCTGATATTTGAATACTGGTGGGATTGGGAGGGATTGAGTTTGTCATGTGGGAGTTGTAATTGCTGGGATTTATAGTTCACCTACAATCAAAGAGCATTCTGAACTCCACCAACAATGGAATTGAACAAAACTTGGCACACAGAACTCCCATGACCAACAGAAAATACTGAAAGGGTTTGGTGGGCATTGACCTTGAGTTTTGGAGTTATAGTTCACCTACACCCAGAGAGCACTGTAGACTCTAATAATGATGGATCTGGACCAAACTTGGCACAAATATTCAATATGCCCAAATGTGAACACTGGTGGATTTTGCGGAAAATAAACCTTGACATTTAGCAGTTGTAGTTGCTGGGATTTATAGTTCGCCTACAATCAATGAGCATTCTGAACCCCACCAATGAGAGAATTAGGCCAGACTTCCCACAGAGAACCCCTATGACCAACAGAAAATACTGTGTTTTATGAGGGTGTTTGGCAACCCATCTAACACCCCCTCATGAACCCCCCAGGGGTCCCGATCCCCAGGCTGAAAAACAATTATCTATACATTAAGAAAAAAAGTCCTTTGTCTGCTTCATAACCCTTTTCCATTGCATTCTTTTAAAAAGATAAATGGTGTCCCTAAGCTAATAAGTCATACAAAGGAGAAATAACATTTTAAGAATTCAGTAACAATAAGGGGGAAAAAACATGGATAGCACATCTAGATTAAAAAGTAAAGTTAACAGAAAAATACATTATCTATCCGTTCATCCAAAATTACGTAGAGAGCACATGCATGTTAGTAATGGTCCAAAAATTAAATTGAAAAATTGCTCTGTAAGTGCAAAGCAGGACTTACCATAAAATTCATGATAAGAAAGGGAACTGTCTTTCTTCAAAAGATGAAATGTCAGTTAGGGCCCTTCCACACAGCCATATAACCCAGAATATCAAGGCAGAAAATCCCACAATATCTGCTTTGAACTAGGTTATCTAAGTCCACACTGCCATATATTCCAGTTCAAAGCAGATAATGTGGGATTTTATTCAGCTGTGTGGAAGGGGCCGTCCAAGCAGGGGTTTTTTTAGTGTTGCCTCATCTTTCCTGAGAAAGATTAAATTGCAATGTAATTGTGCCAAATTAAATACAAAGGAGCTACAGTTATGGCAAAGCATACAGAGGTTATGAAAAAGATACTGCTGTTGCACATTTTAAAGCGGGGAATTCCTGGAGAACAAGAGAATGGAACAAGGCCATCTTCAGAAAGGAAGAAAAAGAGGACGCAAACAATTACTTCCTAGTCAGCCCGACAATACCCAGAGAGATTCTAGAACAAAACACTAAACAGACCATCTGTACACATTTATAAAGGAATGTCATGCTCAGTAAATCTAACATGGATTTCTCAAAAGCAAGTCATGCAAGATTAACCTTATCTCTTTTTTTGATAGAGCCACAAGCTTGATAGCTGAAGGAAATGTAATATGGGTGCAATATATCTTGATTCCAGTGAGGACTTCCACAAGGATATTCTCACAAGACACTAATAAAATGTGAGCTAGACCACTGTTTCTTAAACTGTGGGTCCCAACCCTAAATGGAGTCTCCTTATTTCAATGCTGGGATCACAAAAATGGCAAGAGTAAAAAGGTTTCTGAATGCCACCCATTTACACAAATCTGCTAGCAACAACATGCAGGATTTAGAGTGGACTGTGCAGAATATTTTTCAGCTATACTCCACAAAAGAAAAAAATCAGCCTATTTAGCCTGTTTTATATACCTGCATATCTAGGGTCGCATAAAAAAAACTTGGGTGGGAAGGTGTCATGAGTAGGAAAGTTTAAGAAACCCTCAGTATTATGTGAGAGGTAGCCAACGTGCTTCTGATACCCTGGTGTATATATCAGGGGATTTGCTCTGAAATGACCCTGTGTATGGAATGTCCGAGGAATTTGTTTCTATGGGTTTGCCTTAACTAATTCTCTGTATGTCTCATGTGGAGGAGGGAATATTAAAAACTGTAAATTCCTTTATTTACTTTTTTAAAAAGAAACCCTTGGCTAGACAATGCTTCTGTTAGATGGATTGGAAATTGGTTAACTGACCAACTTATGACCTTATCACATGGGGGAGCCCCACTCCATGTCATTTAGCTAGCGAGCGAGCCCCGCTCCATGTAGTTTCACCAGCAGGCACAAGGAGCAACTCCATCGCACTGCACGCCACTTTGGCACTGCGACACTTCAGCCATGACACGGGGGAAGCATCGCTGTGGACTCAACAGGAATACTTGCTGGGCTCCTTGGGAAACAGATACTGGAGAAACACCTGCAAGTACAACTCAAATATTTGCCATTTGAATGAGCGTCTATTGTATATCCGCCAATAAATCATTACCAACATATTTTTGGCAGGATCTGAGTGTTCACAGGAACTGGATACATTTCAGTTCTGACATGAATTATTGCTATTAAGTAAAGCTTTCTTGGTGTTCAATTATGCCATATATGCTATACAGCAAAGAAGCATTTCAGCCCTTTCTCAAGCATCTCCTTACAACCAATGGGAAAATTGGGCTCCTAAATCAGTGGTTCTCAACCTTTTCTTCACCACAGATCCCCTTTTAAATACTTTTGTGGCCATAGACCCTGAAGACTTAGCTCAAGATTTAAGACACATCAAATAATTATTTCAATTATTTTCTCATGAAAGGCTTTCAAATGTAGAGAGAAGGGGACATAAATTAATCTGTTAATGTACACACTCCTATCATAATATTTTGATTATAATGATTCCATACAAACTTAAAATAATCATATCACCACTAACAACAGTCAATAATTTAATCCTTTGTGGACCAACACAGATCCTCGGAGGTCACCAGGTCCCAGGTTGAGAACCACTGTCCTAAACTAATTATATCCAATATTTGAGGGATATATTTCTCTTTATGAGCCCTCTGGAGCTCTAAGATCATCAGGAGGTGCCTTCTCTGTCTCTCATCACCTCCTCAGACTCATTTGGAAGAAAGAAGGGAGAGGACATTCTCAATGCTGCTCTCAGACTTTGGAACTCCCCTCCTATAAAGACCAGGATAGTCCTAACCCTGCCTTCAGTTAACAAGTTAAGAGTTTTTTGTGCCATCATTTTTTAAAGTGACTGGAAATTTACTTTTAATGCTATGTGACTCTGTTTTCCACAACGTACAGTAAGACCCCTATAACGATGGAACCCATATGCTTCCATTTACCTATGCCAGGTGAAAGATTCTCTCTCTGGAAGATGCTAGATCAGACATCCTGAAATTCCAGCCTTCCAGCTGTTTGGGCCTTCTACTTCCAGAAGCCTTAGGCAGATTGTTCAGGGAATCGGTGGCCCAAATAGCTGGAAGGTCATAATTTGAGGATGCCTGTACTAGGTCCACCAGATGATTCCATCATATGCTTCCTCTGGAAGCTACCATAAAATCACCCTGGAGGACTTAACATAAAATCACCGTGGAGGACCTAACAAATTACTAGAGAAGATAACTCTCTAGGAATTTCAAGATATTTTGGGCTGACTCTATGGTTTCCTGAAACCAGAGCTCAGGTAATTTAGTGGCCATGGTTTCAGGTAAACACAGTCCAACTGGGGAACATATTCCCCATGGACACAAAATTCCTATAGTATTGATGCATTTTAATATTGTAACATCATAAATTATTTTGTATTAAGATCTTGTATTTTATTAATGTTTGTAAATTGTTATTCTATTCTATGTGTTCTTGGCCTCTTTGCATTTTGTTATCAGGAGAAAAATAGAATATAAATTAAAATAAGAAGGAGAAAGAAAAGAAAGACGATTCTGCTCCCTGCCAGTCATTCATTTCCTTGTAACTGCCCATATAGAATTACTGGACTAGCTTGCTATCCCCCCACACCCACAAGACCAGACAAATGAAAAATAGACTCCAAAAAGTTACATACTGCAGACACAAATGAAGAAATCAAAGTATACAAGCATGACATTGGGAATTTCTCACTTGTGTCTCTCCTGCCCCCATCAATGTGAGAACTGTGCAAGATGGTTAGTGAAAGAGAAATTTCCATTCCTCAATCGATTTTCAGCCTTCCTATCTTTTCCCAGACAAGGTCAGTAATATGAATACCCTATTTCATGTCATTGGATAGATGTTAATATTTCTCCATAGTGCTAACAAGGGCTTCTAAGCCCATAGTCCTGGTTTCTGAGGACCACCTCATCACAGGTGGCACCTGATAACCTCTATGTAACCTTCCAAAAACCCAAATTGTACTTCTATCCTTTGGACACACAAAGCCCTGCCCAACCGATTAAGCCATGACCTCATTTCCTTTTACTAGAAATAATATAAATTGAGGGGTGGGAAAGGACCAGAAGCCAGGACTCATCTCAACAAGAAGCATCAATGGATTTCAGGGTAAGTTGTCTCCATTGTAACTATTAGAGTGGCCTACAGTAGCCTAGATGGAACTTCATGGGCTAAGGAATCTTGTCAACTGAGACAGCAGGGGACAAAGTAATGAACATGATCCTTCGCTATTTGGATAGCACTTTTCACCAAGCCATCTGTATCTCAACTCAGGGCGCATCTACATTGTACAATTAATACAGTTTGACACCACTTTAACGGCTATGATTCAATGCTATGGAATAATGAGGGTTATAATTCTATGAGATCTTTGTCTTCTCTGCCAGAGTGTGCTGGTGTCTCACCAAATTTAAAATGTCAGGATTCCACTGCATTGAGCCAGGGCTCCAATGAGCAGCCGGGCTTTATTTCCTGGAGGATGGACTGGTTGGATCTTCTCGCAGTCCAAGGCACTCTCAGAACTTTCCTCCAACACCACAGCTCAAAAGCATCGATCTTCCTTCGCTCAGCCTTCCCTAAGGTCCAGCTCTCACATCCGTAGGTTACTACAGGGAATACCATGGCTTTGACTAGGCGGATCTTTGTTGCCAGTCTGATGTCTCTACTCTTTACTATTTTATCAAGGTGGACATTGCTCTCCTCCCAAGAAGTAAGCATCTTCTGATTTCCTGGCCAGTCTGCATCTGCAGTAAACTTTGCACCTAGAAATACAAAGTCTGTCACGGCCTCCACATTTTCTCCCTCTATTTTCAAGTTGTCAATCATTCTTGTTGCCATAATCTTGGTTTTTTTGACGTTTAGCTGCAACCCAGCTTTTGCGCTTTTTCTTTCACCTTGATTAGAAGGCTCCTCAGCTCCTCCTCGCTTTCGGCCATCAGAGTGGTGTCATCTGCATATCTGAGGTTGTTAATGTTTCTTCCAGCAATTTTACCCCAGCTTTGCATTCATCCAGCCCCGCAAATTGCATGATGTGTTCTGCATACACGTTAAAAAGGTTGGGTGAGTGTATGCAGCCTTGCCGTATGCCTTTCCCAATCTTGAACCAGTCTGTTGTTCCGTGGTCAGTTCTTACTGTTGCTACTTGGTCCTTGTACAGATTCCTCAGGATATTAGGATACAGGTTATTAATTACTTATTCATGGGTGTCCTTGCCTGTTATTAGGGGAAGATAAGATGTAGTCCTTGTAAGCATAAGCTCATACTCTGGAGTTGTTCTCCATAGTTCAGTTTCAGAACACATATTTTGCATTCAAAAGACCCAAATTTCAATCCCTAGTATTTCTAGTCAAAGAAATTCAATTTGTTGGTGATAGAAAAACACTGTCTTTCCTAGAAGAACTACAGTCAGTCCTCCACTTTTGCAGATTTGACTTTTACAGATCTGATATTCATGGATTTGATTAAAGCAGTGGTTCCCAGCCTGTGGTCCGTGGACCACCAGTAGTCCCTAAGAACTGAAATATGGTCAGTGGCCTCACTATTACTGCACCATTGCAACGAGAGCAACTGGTCTCGCAAAACCCTCTTATAGTGCCAAGGCAACTGGGATGTCGGGAAGGGAGAGGTTGAATACCCACGAAAGATGCGTCAAGAAGCCTCCTGATTGCTGCTTCTCCTCCTCCTCCCTCCCTTTGAACAGAGCTGTTCCATGTGGCACCTAAAAGCACAGGAGTTTTGGTGTCTTCGTTTTTAGGCCTATTCCTGTGGTTATTTGGGATGCTGATTCAGAAAATTACATTGGATAGACCACATCAGCTCTAGATTATTAAATATGGTTTTCTGTGGACGAGCAGATGGTGACTACTGGGTGGCATATGTTCTGTATCAGAAGCTAGAGCTGATGTGGTCTATCCAATGCAATTTTCTGAACTAGCACCCCAAATAACCAAACCGAATCTAAAGTTGACCAAAAACTGATTCATAACCCTTTTGGTACTAATGTTGGAGAGTGGTCCCTGGTCAAAGTGGTCCCTGGTAAAAAAAAAAAAAGGTTGGGAACCACTGGATTAAAGTGTTCTCACTAAGAACTTCAGATTTTGGCAGTTTTTGCCAGAATCATGTTGGAGGATCTAGAGAGTCTGCTTGCAGCAGAAGTTGACTGGAGAGCCCTGCTGGAGAACCTAGATATTTCTAGAGTAGACAACATGGGACTATTTAAACAAATAGTCAAACAAGATAATTTCACATTTTCCTATTTATTTAAAGTTTACATTTCACTTCATTATGTTTTGTTTTCCTATGATGTTAATTAATGTTTCTCTTATATATCTAAGTTCACTAGAGCATCCAAGTGAGACAGATTATCAATTATTACACTAATAGATTAGTTAACATATATGCTGATAAAAAGGGCATTCAAAGTAATATGCAACACAGGATGATATGATATACTTAAGATTAACAACCAAACTGCATCAACACTTTAGGATTCCGTCATTTTAAACCACCAAGGTAGCATCAAATTGATCCTCTCAGAATACCAATTTAGCCTACAGCCCTTTCCAAAATGATCTCAATGTAGAAAATATCTGATTTCTATTTCTCTAAATCGAGCAAGTGATAAAGATACATAAACAAGCCTGGTAAAAAATATGATATGGTTTTCTGATTTCCAGAATATGTTTCATAATGGAAAACGTTTCCTGTATTTTGTTCCAGATGCATTCTTTGCTCTGCAGCCTCTTCTTGTCCCTGATTGTGAATGAACCCTGGGCCAACGGGGAAAAGATCCGCCTCACAACTCTTAATAAAATGGTCAAAAAAGGCCCTATAGTGACAATCGGTAGGTAACATGGGACATATGCATGGGGGGGGGGCACAATCTACAAAAGCACGTTGCCTTTATCGGCTAACCAAAATGCATGAAAGAAACCATGCAAGCTTTCAAAGGTTCCCTGGCTTCTTCATCAAGTAAAAGATGTTTTTAAAAACTAGGGTGAAATAAAAGCCTGCAAAGATTCAGACCTTTTAACGGAGACAGAACCTGGGATCGCTGATCTAATATCCCTAGGCAAGGGGCCACCACTGAGAAGGCCCTATCTCTCGTCTCTGCCAATCTCGCCTGCAAAGGAAGCGGGACTGAGAACAAGGCCTCCTCACATGACCTTAAGCTCTGAGATGGTTCATAGGGAGAGATCTGTTTGGACAGGTAAGCTGGGCCAGAACTATTTAAGGCTTTACAGGCTAAAAGCAGCACTTTGAATTGTGCTCGGTAGCAGACTGGCAACCAGTGGAGCTGATGTTACAGAGGGGTTGTATACTTCCTGTACACTGCTCTGGTGAGCAATCGGCTGTCGCCCATTATACCATTTGAAATTTCCAAACAGTTTTCAAAAGCAATCCCATGTAGAGCGCATTGGAGTAGTCTATTCGGGGATGTAACCAGAGCATGAACTACCATAGCCAAGTCTGACTTCCCAAGATAAAAAACTAGTTTTTAAACTATTTTTTCTGTTAGTTTGTTTTGTTCTTAGTGTGTATATGTATGCCCTTGTTCATTTTATTTTTGTTAAAAAGTTATTTTTAAAACAGATTATCAACTTGTTTTATTTATTTATTTATTTATTTATTTATTTACAGTAATTATATTCCACCCTTCTCACCCCGCAGGGGACTCAGGGTGGATTACAAAGCACATATACATGGCCAACATTGAATGCCATTAGATGTACAACATTTATAGACACACGCAGAGGCAATTTAACATTCCAGTTTTTCCGGTTTCATGAAGGTATGCTCGATTCCGGCCACAGGAGGAACTGCTGCTTCACCGTCCACTTGTGACACTGAATCCTTTTTGATGGCGTGCTTCCTCATTCTTCCACACACTTCTGGAAAGTTTTATGGCATCATAAATTAGATTAGCCTCCCCACATAAAGCGGTACCTAAATTTCCTACTTGACAGATGCAACTGTCTTTAGGGCTGCATAGGTCAACAGCAAGCTGGACTATTAATGGTCAGGAGCTCACTTCAACCTGGGCTGGTTTCGAAGTCATGACCTCTTGGTCAGTAGTAATTTAATGCAGCTGGCTACTAACTAGCCCAGTCCTAAAACATGTTTTTGTTTGTTTTTTTCCCTTTTTTTTTTTTTTTGGTCTTTCAATTAAAACTTTTTTGTAAAAAAAACCAAAAAAAAATAAATCTAGCTTTGAGAATATTGAAAAATGAAACTTTGGGTGATTTGTGGTCAATATAATGATTTAGTTTGTGATCAATATAAATATTCAGACAGGTTTTAAGTAATTCCAGGTGTCCTAAGTCATGGTGAGAAGCCTCCTCATGTTATTTGTGGTTTGTTGGGGTTGCCCAAATTCCCTTGTGATACTCAAGCAAATCTCATGATACTAAGAAACTTTGTTTCTGGTTTTTTTCCCGTCATATTTCTATTTACTTTTTTCTCTCTTTTTTTATTATGATTTTGTATTTTAGTGCAGGGTAGTGACACAACAGCAGCAATGAATCCGACTGGAAACAAAAACCCTTCTGATAGAAACAGTGATGCTTTCTATGAAACCGCCTTGAGCTGGGTTCCTTTCCAAGGCTTGGTCCCCAGTGATGCAGTGTCCTTTTGGAACGATTTTGCTAACAGAACAGAATATCCTTGCAGAGAACCAGGCTGTTCAGCAGGTTTCTACAGCCCAAGCCTTGGGCCATACTGTTTCTTCCCTTATGGAAGCAAAGAATACAAGAGCTCTCAGTTCTGGCTTTTGGTGAATGAATATAACTTGGAATCGTTCATCTGGGAATTTGGTAGATTAAGTGCTATTCTGCCCAATTCTATCTATACCTGCCCAGGTGTTAAGGTGTATGTAGCAAAAAATTCCTATGGCTTGGGGAAAGTAGATGGTGAAAGTAGAATGTTCTACATTGGCATTGATGGCAAAGAGCAACGTTATATATACAGGGAAATATTAACTGTTAAGAAAGACTATAAATCTCAGAGCATCAAGGTAATCCAATACATGCAAGAACAAGGGACATACAGTGAGGAGCCTGTGGTCTTAGTCTCCAGCCAAGTCACCAACAATGGCTGTAATGCAATGAAGAAAAGCACCACCTTGTCGGGGATAATCCGATCGGAACATCAATGGGCTGTTGACATTTCCCTGCCACAGAGTATGAGCAGCATTACCTTAACAGCAGGGATACCAGAGGTTATTGGGGTATCCTGGAATATTTCATCAGAAAACACCTTCAGGTGGAGTAAAGATTCCACACAAAGTGAATCCATCACCCATTCGGAAACAGTGGAAGTTAATGTGCCACCCAAGCAGAGCTGTGAAGTAGTAATGGAAGGCAGAAGAATGACTGCAAGGATTCCCTTCACCGCTATAGCAATCCGCAACTACCAAGAAGATGTGCCACCAATATACCCGTTGCCCACTGTACAGGGAATCAGCCACAATGTTATTGTGGCACAAGTTCATATGGTAGTAAAACAGTGTCAACCTATCCCCAATGCAAATCCATGTCATGCATAGGTTGCTCCTGCAGAAGGAATTCTCCAGTAGTAGTAGGGTGCAGGAAGGATTAAAAAGAGAAAGGATTGTTCTAGGCCAAAGCTTCTTGAATTTTGTGTTGCATTTGGGGTCCTCTACTCGGGGTCAAGAAAATTGGTGTTGCTTGCCACCTAGTGGTTGTTTTAGACATTTATATGAATCAAACAAAAAAAGGAGAGCCAACAAAGTAAATTCTGGGTTGCTATGAGTTTTCCAGGCTGTATGACCATGTTCCAGAAGCATTCTCTCCTGATGTTTCACCCACATCTATGACAGGCATCCTCAGAGATTGTTAAATATATTGGAAACTAGACAAGGAAGTATTGTCGAAGGCTTTCATGGCCGGAATCACTGGATTGCTGTAGGTTTTTTTGGGCTATATGGCCATGTTCTAGAGCAGCGGTTCTCAACCTGGGGGTCGCGACCCCCAGGGGGTCGTTTGGCCATTTTAGAGGGGCGAAAGCACCTCGGTTAGCCCCGCCCCCTCCAAAATGGCTGCCGGCCCCTGTGCCAGCCAAACATGCAGGCACTCGAGGTCGGCTCCTCCTCCTCTTCCCACAAGGCTGCATGGAGTCAAGAGGAGGAGCTTAGAGGCAAAGGCGCGCAAGGGAGAAGGTACACTATTTTTGGAGACCTTCTTGGGCCCTCCCCTCCCCGTGAGCTTAGAAGGGGTGGGGGTCGAGTGGAAGGCTCCCCATATGGGCTGGCTCTTGCTGCCCAAGTTTGACCCAGGACCATCATGGGGGGAGGTCAATTTCTCTGGTGTGGGTGAACTACAACTCACCAAAACAAAGGTCAGTTCCCCCATGAAGAAGAGGAGGAAGAAGAGGAGAAACCGCGGAGGCCGCACAGGGGCTGCTGCGGCTGTTTTTCCTCTTCTTGCTCCTCCTCCTCCAGCTGGCCATCAAGGAGAAAGAGAAGGAAAAAGAGGAGAAGGGGCTCTG